GGCGATGAAAATCTACAATGTTGGTATGCCTTGGGAGAGAATAGCCTTAGACATCGCTGGACCATTTCCAATCACTGATTCGGGCAATCGCTACGTTTTAGTGGTTATGGATTATTTTACAAAATGGCCGGAGGTCTTTGCCATACCGAATCAAGAGGCAGTAACTGTAGCCACGAAGTTGGTAAACGAGGTATTCACCCGATTCGGAGTGCCCTTGGAGATGCACAGTGATCAAGGACGGAACTTTGAATCCCAAGTTTTCCAGGAAACTTGTAAACTTTTGGGAATCCATAAGACTCGAACGACCCCTTATCATCCACAGTCAGATGGAATGGTCGAACGCTTCAACCAAACATTGGAGCGACACTTAGCAAAGGTGGTTGACAGCCATCAGAGAGATTGGGACACTTACATACCTCTCTTCTTGCTTGCCTATCGGACTGCTGTACATGAAAGTACCGCAAAGACGCCTGCATTTGCAAATTTTGGAAGGGAATTGAGATTACCGGCAGATCTTGTATCGGGCTGTCCACCTGGTGACTCTCGCACCGAGTTTAGCGATTACATAAGCGAGTTAAGGGCAAAAATGTTGGACATTTATGAGCAGATCAGGGAGGCCGGTCTTCAAGCTAGTGATCGCGCAAAGACGCGCTATGATCGACGAGCCAATTCTGTTGGGTTTGAAGAGGGGTCATTGGTCTGGCTTCATAATCCAGTCAGAAGGAAGGGAAAATCTCCAAAGCTGCAACCGAGTTGGGAAGGTCCTTACGAGATAGTCACGAAGATCAATGACATTACTTACAGAATTCGGAAGTCTTCAAGGAGCCCTTTGAAAGTTGTCCATATAGACAGGTTGGCGAGGTATTACGGCAGCAACGATGCTCGGGACGAGCGAATCTAAGAGGGGGGCAGTGTGACAGAAAACTCTTTGACATCATGACGTCAATGGATGGTTGTCAAACGTTGCCTAGAGATTGTAAATTTCGTCGTGAATTGTCAACACGAGTTGGTGTAATCGGTAAGGCGTGTGGATTACACCACAGAGACCCCGAGTTCGAGTCCCGCCGTAAACATGAAGTTTTTTAGTTGATGGAAGTTTTGTCGAACTTTCTGGAATATTTGAGTGAAAGTAATGAAAAATTAAGGAGCGAGAAGGAGAATAAATAAAAATGAATAACGAAATTATTGGAAGGTTCTGGAGGCATGACGATCAAAAAAAGAATAACGAAATTGAATGTTCTAGAACCTGACCGGGGGTATATAAGCGGAACTGCGGCTCACCGCTGGCAGTTGAGTTCTAAGTCTAAAGCGATTCGGAAGAACAGGAAGAAGTGAAAAAGAAGAAAAGTGAGTGAAATAGTGAAGTGCAGTGAAATAGTGAAGTGCAGTCAGTTAAGTGAAGTTAGCGTGAACGGCAAAGTTGTGTCAGTCGGCCGGACTCTGCTGGAGAGGAACGCCGATAACTTAACTCCGTGGACACTGTAACTTAAGCGCAATAGAAAGTCTGAAAACCGGTATTAGTGTTTCATTTCATCCAATCCCGTAACCCAAGCCCGCATAGTCAGGAACGTGACGTCAGGCACGTAACAATATTAATTAGTCGTTAGATTTAAAGCTACATATGATGTTACCGTATAAGGAGACTAAAAAATATTTACATTAATAACGCCGTTTCAATTCACAAATCTTACTGTAATGCGAAAGTTACGATGTTTGGATGTTTGTGACTCAATCACGCCAAAACGGCTGATCGGATTTGAATAAAATTTGACACAGGCATAGGAATAAGACATAGGCTTTTTGACAGATAGAACTGATTAACAGAGATATTGCAGAAAGGATTTCTACATTTTTTTTACAAATTTTAACCTTAAATGTGATTGCGAAAACCAAGTTACCCAACCCACTGGAGCAGCGTGGAGATTACAGGAAATCCTTTATTGGAGGTCCATAAACCAGTAACAGCAAAGGAGAATTTATAACGATAATTCGAATTATTAAATCAAACAGACACTTTCTAAGCATAACAAAGAAAACTCTAAAACACACAAACAAAAAATTCAAAGATAGAATAGAAATCAATAAACCTCCTTTAAAAGCCAATGGACGCCATTTATTTGCAATGAGCGGTTTCCAAGATAATCTGCAATTAAGTGACTGCAACCAGTTACACGATGTTCCATTAGCTACTCTGTGGTAAATGATCTTGTTAGTCTCTGTCTGTGGCCATTACACTATAGGTGGTGTAAGGGTTTGTGACGTCACTTAGTTTTGGTCCAATTTTAAATTTAGTTCACATGATCGCTGAGCAAAGGCCTCTTCTCATACGGAGAATATTTGAGCGTTAATGACCACGCTTGCTCAAGCCGAATTGACGATTACAAACTTATATTTAGGGATTATAAGTCCAGGTCTCTTCACTATGTTTTACTTCACCATACATTAATGGTATTTAAATAATCTAGTAATTAGCTAGACCTCCTATTCGTTGTAGCGTGATGTTTCACCATATAAGCCTTTCTCAACAAATGAATTAACCGAATCAAAAAGAATTGTTGAAATCGAGCCATTAGTACCAGAGATAAACGCGTTTAAGCTAATTAACAAACTTTTAAGCTTTATAATATTTGTCAAAAATGTTATGTTAAATTGTTAAAGCAGTTTTGTGTATGATTGGCGTAAAACGAGCAGTCGGTTCACGAACGAATTGCAAGTACGATATCGGCCTTATCAGATTTAGAGATTTGAGGACTGGGTATTTAATTGCGCCTTAGGTAACGTCACACAATGTGAGCAACAGAACACAACGCCGGCATTGTTCCACGCTGGTTTTATAAAGCTGTGGTGCCACTCCAGTCAACTCAAAGCCAAGCTCTTCCACACTTACCTACGCTCCATCGGTTACTGATAGCAAGCACAGTCGTTGTATTACATCACGCTTTCCTTGACTATAAACAGAACTTTTTTTATTTTTGGGATAGAAAAATCATCATCATCAAATTCCTTCTCGGGTCCAGTGTGAGGCGAGAACGAATGCCAGACTCTTACTGACTAAAAAACACCCCCGTTCGTTCTCCAGCTCTACGCCGAAGCCGCGCGCGCGATTCCTTATTTTTTGGGCCCAGTCTGTCTGGTGGTCTATTGGTTCTTTGAGGCGCGCAAGGGATTCTTTCGACGTTGATAGCATTTAAGCCAAGAGACAAAAGGACAGTATTCTAATATTACTACGAAATCTAAGTAGGTATACCTAATGCCTGGATTTCGAGCTATACAGCATTCAGGCTATGTCCTGTGTGCAACCACATTTACGTTACTGCCGGCCATTCACCTGTGCTCGCTCAGTGGTCACTCAAAGCAGTCGTCGACATTATGCATCACTGCAGACCTGTAACTTCACAAGTAGGGATGGGAATGCGTCATTCGTTAGTTATTTATCGATTCGAGTAATCGAGATTGAATATAATTTGTTAGAAATTTTATTCATCGTGATTTTCAAATCTATGTAAAAGTCATCCCTTTATTCCATCTCCGACCCGAGCCGCGATATATAGAAAATCTGTATTTTCAATATATGTATGTATAATAGCTATGAAACTAGCTACTCTCGCACCATTTCACCTGCTGCTCGGCTCCTAAATATTGTAGCGTGATGTTTTATAGCAGAAGACCTTCCTCGATAAACATACTAAAAAACACGAACCAATTGTTAAATTTGAACCAGTACTTCTAGAGAACCTAGAAACAAACGAATAAACTCAACAACTTTATATTTGATACCAGCTACTCTCGCGCGGTTTCATCCGCTACTCGGCTCCATTTAGTCGTAGCGTGATGTTTTATAGCCTAAAGCACTCAGGAACATTGTAGCTATCTATCAGTGAAAGAATTTTGGCAATCCGACCAGGGGTTCCAAAGATTACCCCCTACATACAAACTTACAAATTTTACCTCTTTATAATATTATTAGATAGTAGTATAGATGTGATGATATGAGGTACAGGAGATGATATGAGGCATAGTATATATAGTATAATAGTAAAGACTTATATAGAAAAGTATAGATTACTTAAACACTCGATTATTACTTTTCATATTCAGAAATCGAATTATTGTTTACGAATAACAACATATACATTGTATGTTGTTTATCTACCAGCACATCACCATGGTACAGTGAAGCTGCCACTTCTGTGGGCGCTGAGCCAAATACAGATTTGGCAGGAATCACTCGCGCTTTGCTAGTTAGCTTTGCGCCTAGATTACCTGTTTATTCTACCTATTACCGTACCTATTTTATTTTGATTTTTGAACCTGTTTACTTAAACTTTTATACGTATCACATGCGACTGCGCACTGAATAAGGATGCACGATGGAGACACGTTGCTAGATGGCTACCATGCGGTAGCCTTGCCACCGTGCAACGTGTCTCCGGGTGGGAACCCACACGGAAAAACTCTTTGTGCAATCCACAAATTACTGTTCCTGGTCTGAAATTGTATGTTTGTAAAACGACACAACAGCAAATTCTGGTTATTTACTTTATTATCATATAGTCTACATATGTAATATTGCTCAGTTTCATAACGATATTCCACAAATCCCTAACAACTGCCAAAAAGAGTGGTAAAGGACTTATAACTCCTGTTTGTTGCGTTCATGTGATCATATCGTATGCTCATTTCATTGCTCAAAGAGCTAATAAACCACCACAACCGGGGCCCTTCAGAGCCGATGTTCAGCCGGGGTTGCGGGACTAACGCAATATGGTACCGCGACCTCGGCCTAAAGCAGGAGAAGGAACGGGAGTTTTAGTCAGTAAGATTCTGACACACCCTCTCGCAAAATGGAGGAGACCCTGACCGAGAGAAGTGATTTGATGATTTTCCCCTCACAAAAAAAAAAACATCTCACTAGCGCTACCTAGTAATCACAATGGGAAAATCTCCATTGCTAATTTTTAAATTAATTGATCTATTATAATTTTTTTTTTCAGATTGACAATCATTTAAGATGCACATCAAACCGTTGATAGCGATCCCTGTTTGCCTAGTTGCTGTCTTCGTGTTTTGGATAACTGGATCCAGTGGTGAGAAGAAATATAATATATACATATATTTCCAAAATAAATACTCAAACACTAGGTATACAGAACAACGTTGTATTTCTCCGTGCGATTGAGGTCACCGAAGGCCCAATGCTTTCCCTCCCAAATCCATCCTAACTCCTTAAATCACTGAAACCCTAATCCCCAAAAGGCCGGAAACGTACTCGTAACTCCTCTGTTTCTGTTTCTGTTTATACCTTTTTGCATGCTTGCATCGATTGCTTACCTGATCAGGTAATCTGTGTTTTCGAAGGCCGACCTACAACCATATGCAAAAAATATTACACAAAAGAACACACATATCCTTTTTAGTCAGGACCTTCTTCTTCAAATCTCCTCTTCTATTCATTAACCCTTTGCCCAAACATTCCAGGTCTCTTCATCCCCAATCTAACAGAAAGGTGCTACAGATGTCTTTGCCACGTGTCCACAACTTGTGACATGGCACATGAATGTACAGGAGGGTACTGTGGACCGTTCAATATATCAAGGGTGTACTGGGTCGATGCTGGCATGGTTACGCTGCCTGAAGATGACCCACAGAGGAATCATGGTTGGTACTTCTTCTTTGAAAACTAGCTTCTGCCCCCTAGACTTTGTCCTCGTAGTAGCTAGCGTTGGCTTTGTTTTGAGGGGGTTATATCATCGAATTACTTCACTTGGATGGGAGGAGACTGTCTGACGTACTGACTAAAACTCAGACTCTTACTGACTAAAAGCCATCCCATTCCTTCTGCTGGAGCAAGCCGGGGCCGCGGTATATTGTTGAGCTTGACCCGAAATCCTGGCTGTGCGTAGTACAGGATTAAAGTAGATTTTTTTTTATTTATAATTTTTACAACAAATAATTACATGTACGTAGTTCAGGCTCATTAGTTAAAAACAAAAAAGCTTCATTCATATCCGTTAATTAGTTTAGGAGAATAACTGTTTATCGCAAATAGACATACATTTTTTGGTCAACGTTGTACTCGTAGGCAGACACTTGTATAAATGGAGGTTAATTAAAAATATTTAACCTAATTACTTACGCAAAAATCCTTTCTGTATTTCAGCTTGGTCAGACTGTGCAAGAAGTTATCACTGCGCTAAAAGAATAATAGAAGGCTATTTGGAAAAGTTCGGAAAGGTATATTCAAATGTTGTCTATATACTAATATTATAAAGAGGTAAAATTTATAAGTTTGTATGTAGGGGGTAATCTTTGGAACGGCTGGTCGGATTTCCAAAACTCTTTCACTGATAGATAGCTACAATATTCCTGAGTGCTATAGGCTATAAGACATCACGCTACGATCTGTAGGAGCTGAGCAGCGGGTGAAACCGCGCAAGAGTGGCTAGTATATTATAACACAAATGTTAATCTACGTAAAGATGAAACTTATACCTAAATCATAAATTTTCTTAGAGTACGTTACCTAATAACATATTTTTATGTATTTACATCTAAAATTAAAATGAATAGCTATAAAATAATGACAATAGGTACTTCGTACTTAATAATAACAAAATGTGGATTTAATGAATTAAAAGATGAGTAACTTCATATAATATCTGTTTATTCTTTTGTTTAAATGTATATGTGACGTAAAATCAAAATTAATTATCTTAAAGATATTTATTTAATACCACATTCATCATCATCATCATCATCAGCCTATAAGTGCCCACTGCTGAGCAAAGGCCTCTTCTCATATGGAGAAGGTTAGAGCATTAATCACCACGCTTGCTCAATGCGGGTTGGCGATTACAAAGTTATAATTAGAAATTATAAGTCCAGGTTTCCTCACGATGTTTACCTTCACCGTATGTCAGTGGTGTCTAAATAATCATAGAAAGTAGATATATAACTCTGAAAAAGTCATATTGGTACTTGCCAGGTTTCGAACCCGCACCCTCATGCATGAGAAGCGGGCGCTTTAACCTCCGGTCCACCACGACATGACAATACCACATTATCATCAGAAAAAAAAACCATAAAATGATAAGTTATCTATTCGTAAACCATCATGACCTCTCAATTCCAGGACTGTAATGGAGATGGTGTCACGAACTGCTTTGACTACATGATGGTAAATGGCAATGGTGGCTATGGATGCACGGCTCCGTTGAACCGGTCCGAAAACGGCAGAAAATGGCTCCGAAGATTTGAAGAATGCCGGCTATAAAAACAATAAAGAAATAGAACCCTGAGCAACATGATTCTTAAGCTTTTATGAGAATCCAATCTATCTATCTGTGAACCGATTCGCATTCGAATCAGTCCAGCCGTTTATGAGTTCGAACTGTTTTGTTAGTATCATTTTTTCGTGGATTCGCATTGTGATTTGCGTCGAACATAATGATGAAACAATGATAAAATTATGTTAGCGTAATTACCTAGTTTTAATTTATCTAACGCCATATAGTATGTAGGTATGTCAGTGAAATACATTTTTTGTAATCGATGTCTGTTCTTAATTCTTCAGAGATTTCCCCTTACGATACGTTGGGTGTTTTTCACATGTTTTTTCGTTTTCAGGGAAAACTAAAAATGACTTCTCTCGGTGTAAATGGGCGAGAGGGAGTGTCAGACTCTTACTGACTAAAAACCATCTCGCACAAATGAACAACGAACGTAATTTGTATGATCTATGTGCCAGATAAGTTTATCGGGGACTAATATGAAAGTGGTAAAACCGGCCTTTTATCAGTAATGATACCATCAATGACTGAATTTCCAATTTTGTTATGGAATAGAAGGCAAACGAGCCGACGGATCACCTGATGGTAAGTGATCGACGCCGCCCATGGACACCTGCAGCACCAGAGGAATCACAGGCCCTTGCCCACCTTTTAAGAACAAGTACACTCGTTACTTATATGGCGTTTAAGCATACTATATTACAATAAATATAAAATATAAAACAATAAACCCCTATTATTATCAGATAAAAATTAATCTTTTGTTTGTTTTGAATCCGACGGAGAATAAGAGTTTTAAACGTTTAGTCGACGAAATAGGACAAAATTGTAATTCCATTAAAATTCCTTTCGAAGTTAAAGCAAAAATAAACACAAGTTTAATATTGTTTTCAGTTCAGCCCGAGGACACGATATTGTGTCAATCTTATCTTCAGAAAAGGAATGTTTAACGAAACTTATTATATACTCATTAAATAAATTTCCAGAATCCGAGTTTCAAAGTCAAAGTCAAAGTCAAAATCATAATATACATAGGTAAATATTGCAACTAAACCATAAATTGGTACTTTTTAAAGGTCAAAATGGAATAGTAGTCTGTCAGTCTGTTCGTCAGTAAAAAAGAAAGAACCATGCTTCGGCACGAATGGGTCGGCTCGACCGGAGCGATACCACGGCCTCACAGAAACCCAGCGTGAAACAACTACACACACAGTGCCGTTGAATTCTGCCGTGTGAGTGAGGTTACCGAAGGCCCAATTCTTTCCTCCTACCCCCAACCTCAATCCTCAAATCCCCTATCCTTAAATCCCTTATAATCTACAAGAGGCCGGCAACGCACTTGTAGTAACTCCTTTGGTACTACGAGTGTCCAAAGGCGGCGCTGATTGCTTACCATCAGGTAATCCACCTGCTCGTTTGCCGACCTATAACATACAAAAAAATGGTACTCGTCTCGACGCGACAAAATGATACAATTTTTCCTCCCGCTCTATTATTAGTAAAAGATTTTTAATTGGATGCCCAGTTTTGTTTGCAAGAAGTACATTTCCCTATACAGACCGACTCATCGATGAATGTAACGAACTATTTGAATACAATCTACATCGATTGAATACAGACATAAACAAACTTCGCTTTCCACTGCTGGTTTTGATAGACTTGATAAAAGAACACCTGTCTTCTTTTGAAGAAGCATTGTTTCAGTAAGATGTAAATGCACGGTAGACAGTGTCTGGGCGACTGGCTGCTGCGTAACGAATGGCATCATAATTCTCTGAGAAATTACTTCAAGAATTATTGCACGGAAGGGTTTATTTTGTGAGGGGAAATCATCAAATGACTTCTCCCACCCAGGGCTGGGCGGGGGGGAGTGTCAGACTCTTACTGACTAAAAACCCCCTTGTTCCTTCTCCTGCTCTGGGCCGAGGTACGTGTCTTATACGGCCAGGGTAAGTGCGGGCCTGCAGACGGTAAGAAAGGGTAGCTCGCCGCACCCAAGCGTAAGGCGCACAGCCTCAAAAAGCCAATAAGCCACCACAGAAGGGATGATGGCCCAACAGAGTTGATGATCAGCTAGGGTTGTGGGTCAAGCGTAATAATGTACCGCGGTCTCAGCCTTGAGCAGCAGTAGAAACAAGGTGGTTTTTAGTCAGTAAGAGTCCTGACGCTCCCTCTCGCCCCACATAAATCAATAGAAGTCATTTAAAAAAAGTGGGTATGGTGTGTATCATAAGAGTGGCATAGTATGGTCTTAACAAGTATAATTATGTTAAATTATAAATTAAAAAGATAAATTAAAATTTTGCGGGGATACCTTAAAATTTTCATCATAACGCACATGCCTTATTATGTTGCAACACAAGAAAAAATAGTGTAGCCACTTTAAAAATTGTGATAAAATGATTCATTTATTAGGAAAATAACACTATCGTCAGAGTAATACTTTCGTACCCATATTGTAATGTAACGTAATAAATACCGCGTAGATTCTTTTTAAATAAGCACGATGCTCCTCACGAAGCAATGTACTGCAGACATGTTGTAACGGTCGCCATGACGACCTAAATCAACAAGGTACCAGACAGGTGACAGGAATGAATATTCAGTTAGCACGCGTTGAAACTTTAATGAGAAACTAGGCAGGACCACTTGTAATACATAGCCTACAGGAGTTTCTTGATGAAGCAAGATTTTAGAACGTGACGTGAAAATTTTCGGCTCGTTTAAATCTAAGTTTTTAGTTTGTTACGTATTTTAAAATGAAAATTAATGTATGTTAGACTGTTAGAACCTTCATTTTTGTGGAATTGTATTTTTCAGAAAACAATAACTCACTTTTTTTAACTTTAGAATTAAAAAAGTAGAAGGACAGAACCGATTTGCAAAAGAAGTTTATGTATATATTTTATCCCTTGTAATAAATTCTAGGCAACTCAATATCGAACAATAGAATGCCAAAAAAGAAAAATTGCCAAATAATTTGTTTGTAATTTGTAATAACTTGTTTCAAATACGAATTTTAACGAAGACAAATAAACAAACCATTTAAGAAATTCACCCAGATACATTCCAGAATCAGTTCTTTGCACCTAGGTGTATTGTACGTTTGCCAACAACATTAATCCTAATGAGAAACTATCCAAAATTACTTTCACCATAGTCTTCAACAGCTAGCACATTAACAACACCAAACTACACTCAAGATAACATTAAAACAGAAGATATACAATCTCTTTGGTGTAGTTTAACCAAAGACAAAACAAGTGGGCGCATAAATCGTGAACTGTTGTCTGTGGAGTCGAGGCAATTCTCTTGTTGGCGCGAAATCAGCCGGGAAACATGGCCGCGGTTTGACTGCGCTCCTGATACTTAATCATTGTCTGAGTTTAATTATAATGTTACATTCGGTTACACACGCAATAAATTATGGAAGAGAAATAAAATGTTATAACAACGGGAATGAAATATTATTTGGAAAATCAGCAATCAAAAGATATAGGTAGATTGTTTTCGTAATTTTTTTGGGTGGAGTGTGGACGCTATTGATAAACATTAAAACAACCTACCAACACAGTTAAGAATGTTCCTAGACTACTTACTTATGGCGCACTTTATTTCATGGGGAATGTATCTTCATACACTCGTAAAAAACAGAACTACTAAAATAGGTAAGATTAATCAGCTGGGGTTGCGGGGCAAGCGCAATGACACACCGCGGCCTCGGCCCAGAGCGGAAGACCGGGGGGTTTTTAGTCAGAAAGAGTCTGACACCCCCTTGGCCGCCGACCCTGAGAGGAAGATGATGATTTTCCGCTCACAAAAAAAAATGGAAAAAATAGAACGAAAAATATACAGTAACATAATTAACATCATGACAAATTACAAGTCTTAATTTTTAAAACACCTTCCATTACATTAATACTCATAATACGAGAAAAACCGGTGTCAGACAAAAAATGGTGGCATAAAAACATTCTTCAGGTCGCGCCGCCATTTTTGCGCGCGAAACTCATTATTTTTAACAAAATAAGCAAACGTATTTGAGTACACATCCTTTCCTTTCTCTCGGGTCCTTATTCCGAAATGTTCTGTCACATAAATTAACAACGCATGGAGAGAAAAAAAACAGATAAAAATATGCTAAAAGCTAGAAAAAACATAAATTAAGAGTTTTTGACATTTTTGGGCGAGCGTCGAGTTTGAGAGCAGTTTGTTTTTTGGATTATTACAATTTTACAGCGGCTAGCTAACGCCTGGAGGGTAACATTTCAGTTAATTAGACACAATACTTAATTAAAACTGAATTAACATATAAACATTTTAATACGATAGCTATAAGGTACTTAACTTGAGAAACTTGTTGCAAGTAAGTAAACCTTAATATGTTTTTTTTTACTTGATATAAACTAGTGCTTGACTGCGATCCCACCTGATGGTAAACAGTGATGCAATCATTGATGTTAAGGCGATCTAGTTTATTAAGAGCCTATTCACTCTAGCCTTGAAGACATCTAAAACATGTGAATCCAAAATAACTTAATTATTGATCAAAACAAGAAATGTTAGAAGAATACCTCAATATTTAATACTCATACATCTCATCATTCATAAGTGCCCACTACTGAGCAACAGCAAAGACCTCTTCCCAAGCGGAGAAGATTTGTACCCCAACCCCCGAAGGGCCTCAGCGAGGCAGGGGTTGCGTCGCGGCTCGGTTCGGAGAGATCGCTGTGGTGGGCGTGTACTTCTCTCCGAACCGAACTCTCGTCGAGTTCCACAACTCCCTCAGGGAATTAATCACCGTCGTCGTCGGGTTCCGTCCCCTCCCCGTGCTCGTCCTCGGGGACTTCAATGCCAAGAATTTGGCTTGGGGTTCTCGGCTCACCGATGTCCGGGGAAGGATGGTCGAAGACTGGGCTCTGGAGACAGGCCTAGTCGTGCTGAACCGGGGTTCTGTCCCCACGTGCATACGGATGCGGGGCGA